GGAGTAATTTAAGCAATTTAATCAAAAATACATAGCAGGGGCAGCTTCAGTTCCTCACATGTGTCCCTGTTTGAGTTATTACTATGTTTCTCTTTCCCAAATTTAGTATGGGATCCTATGTTGCCTTTCTGACTGCACTACAGCTAAAAGAAAAATATAAGTTAGAACCATTACATTTATTTGTGTCAAGTGCAAATGCTCCTCATGTAAGTAATGCATTTTTCCTTATGGAGGGGGTGGAGAGGATGGAGGAAGGGAAAAAGATCAAGGCCTTATTTTGCTAGGAGTCCCTGGGTAGAACAAACAACTGGTTACTAACCCAAAACTGGCAGTTTGAATCCACCCAGAGACATCTTAGAAGAAAAGCCTGGGGATCAACTTGCCCCCAAATCAGCCTCTGAATCCCCGGGGATCATAATTCTGCTCTGACATGCATGGGGTCGCCATAGTCCAGTCAACTTGACACCAACTCTTCTTTTGTGTTTAGTTTTGCTAACGGGAGATCTGGTGGTGTAGTGCTAAGGCATTTGACTGCTAACCAGAAGGTTGGTGGTTCAAACCCACCAGCCACTCCTCGGAAGGAAGGTTGGGCAATCTACTTCCCTAGTGATACCACCTTGGAAACCAAAGGAGGGGTCGCTATGAGTTGGATCAGACTAGATGGCAGTTTGTTTATCTGGTGAACTTTTGTTCAGGGTGGGGCCAATGGCAGGGATATAGTTTGCTAATGAAAAGTCTCTCCAACCTCTTTCAATATATCACCATCTCACCATTTCTCTGAAATGCACTTTACTGTTCTCTATTCCTTGTCTGCATAGCCCCTGCCACCTCCCAGCTAACACTGACCATAAGTGCTTTTCCTTTCATCCTGGGTAGCTGGGAGCTTAATCAACTTCCAGTAAAATAACTGGTTAAGAGCCAGGAAAGGATCCTGGAAATGTCAACAGGGGCATGTGTCAAGTTTCTGAACAAACATGACTTTGTAAACCCAGTACTGCTTTGCCAGTTGCTTTTCCTCCTCCTCTTTTGATCTTCCTCTCCTCATCCAGAGAAGATCCTGATTGATCTGGGAATCTAACCCTAGACTGCCTTGTTGGTGGCGTGATGGGCCTGGAATTGCTGAGGAGCTTCCTTCTCCCTGCTTTTCTTTCTTTCCTTTTTTACAATCAGGCCTCCCTTAAAACCTATAGATAAAGAAGTCCACTTCCTAACCTCGATTAAGTGACTTCTCCTTGGATGGATGGAGTTCGGTTTATAGAGGAGTGCATGCTGTGAAATATGAGGCCTATGTTTTTAATTGTTTTCAGGCAATGTTCCTGCCTGACATTCCAAATGATGACGAAATAGAAGAAGTAGTTCATGATTTTCTTACGGAGGTTGGTGGCACTCCTGAGAAATTGATAAACAGTAAACAATTTATTCGAGAGTGTATTCCCGTAACGCTGGCAGATGTATGCATGATTAAAAATTACATGTAAGTAACCAAGATGTATTTTTTTTTTTACAAACAATTATCTATAGAAATATGTAGACTGATAGTTCTCTGTAACAGATGACAACATTCTAGGAATTTGATTTCATTTCTTTTGGGGAACCTATAATATTTGTTAGGAATTTGATTTCATTTCTTTTGGGGAACCTATAATATTTGTAATGGCTCAAAATTCCAACTAATGGAAGTGAGTCACAGAAATTGTATTTTAAAAAAATAATTGAATATATATATATATATATATATATATATATATATATATATATATATATATATATATAAATGTATACACACACACACACACACACACACCAAACTCTGCCATCAAATCAATTTCGACTCATAAAACCTACTTTGGGTTTCTGAGATGGGAGATGGTAAATCTTCACAGAAGTAGATTGCCCAGTCTTCCTTCCACAGAGTGGCTGGTGGATTTGAACTGCCAGACTACTTGTTAACAGTCCAATGCCTTAGGCACTATGCCACCAGAGCTCCATACACACACACACACACACACACACACGTATGTATGTATGTATCAATATAGATTTTATAAACATTTGTTGAGTTAATGCCAAAGCATCCTCATCTTAGAAGGGTCAGCAGAAGTAGATAACTAATTATTGTTGGAAGTCTTTTTTCAGAATTTTAACATGAATTAAGTCTGGAGATCAACTAACAAAAGAGGAGTGATTTGCTAGATTTGCTTTTGGGGAAGTTTTTCCCAGAACTCATTTTGCTCCATGTGCATGCCCATTCCCTGTCCTGTGGGATGCCTAGACTGATGCTTGATTGAGCTGATAGGACTGCAGTCCTAACAATCAGTAAAGCTTTTCACAAAAATCTAAACTCACAGTGGCTCTGACATCAACAATGATATCCCTCATTCCACATCCTCTTCTGAATCCAGCTTGCATTTCTGGAATTCCCCTGTCAATATACTGCTATAATTGTTTTTTCATTATCTTCAGCAGGGTTTTATTTACATATGATACAATGATAATGTTCAATAATTTCTACATCGTGTTGGATCACCTTTCTTTGCAGTGGGCACAAATATTGATCTCTTCCAGTCAGTTGGCCAGGTAGCTGTCTTCCAAATTTCCTGGCATCAATGAGTAAGCTCCTCCAGTGCTGCATTCATTTGTTGGAACACCTCAATGGGTTTTCTGTCAATTCCTGGAGACTTGTTTTTTGCCAATTCCTTCAGTGTAGCTTGGACTTCTTCTTTCAATACCAGTAGTTCTTAATCATATGCGACCTCCTGAAATAGTTTGGCGTCAACCACTTCTTTTTGATACAGTGACTGTATATTCTTTCCATCTTCTCTTGATGCTTCTTGCATTATTCAATATTTTGCCCATAGAAGTCTTCAATATTACAACTCAAGGCTTGCATTTTCTTCTTCAGTTCTTTTAGCTTGAGAAATGCACAGTGTGTTCTTAGCTTTTGGTTTTCTAACTCCAGGCCTTTGCACATTTCATTACAATAACTTTATCTTCTTGAAGTTTGAAATTTTTGGTTCTTCTATTTCAGCATCTCAGCTTTAGCTACTCTCCATCCAAGAACAAGCTGCAGAGTCTCTTCTGACATCCGCTTTTGTGTTTTCTTCCTTTCTTGTCTTTTTAATGACCATTTGCTTTCGTCATGTAAGATGACCATGATGTCATCCCACAACTAGTCTGGTCTTTGGTCATTAGTGTTCAATATGTCAAATCTATATTTCAGATAGTCTCTAAATTCAGGAGATATAATCAAGGTCATATTTTGGCTCTGTGGACTTTTTTCTTTGGGTTCCACTTGAACTTGAATATGAGCCTTTGATGGCCTTGTTTTGACTGATAATATTGAGCTTCTCCATCACCTCTTGCCATAGATATAGTCGATCTGATTCCTGTGTATTTCATCTGGCAGGGTCCACTTGTATACCACTGTGTATGTTGTTGCAAAAGGTATTTGAAATGATAAGTCATTTGCCTTGCAAAAATTCTATCATATGATCTCCGGCATCATTTCTATCAGCAAAACACACTTTCTAACTACCAATGATTCTTGTTTGTTTCCAACTTTCACATTCTAGTCATCAGTAATTGTGTATTCATCTTGATTGCATGTTTGGTCAATTTCAGACTGTAGAACTTGGGAAGAATCTTCAATTTCTTCATCTTTGGCTTTAGTAGTTGGTGCATAAATTTGCATATTAGTAGTATTAAACTGGTCTTCCTTTTAGGTGTATGGATATTATCCTATCACTGACAGCATTGTGTTGTGGGATAGATCTTGAGATGTTCTTTTGACAATAATGCAACACAATTTTTTTCAGTGTGTCATTCCTAGCATAGTAGATCATATGACTGACTGATTCAAAATGGCCAATATCAGTCCACTTCAGCTCACTGGTGCTTAGGATATTGATCTTATGCATTCCATTTCATTTTTGACAACTTCCAATTTTCCTATATTCATTCTATGTACATTCCATGTTCTGATTATTAATGAATGGTTGCAGCTGTTTCTTTCCATCCTGAGTTGTGCCTCATAAGCAAATGAAAATTATGAAAGCTTCATTCCTTCCATATCATTAAGGTTGACTCTACTTTGAGGAGGTAGCCCTTGCCTAGTATATTGAATGCCTTCCAACATAAGGGACTCATCTTTGGGCACTATATCAAACAATGTTTCACAGCTATTCATAGTTTTCCAGCAATATATCAGACAGTGTTACACTGCTATTCATAAGCTTTCCAAACTAAGACAAACTGGAAACTCCACTGAAACTTGCCTGCTGTGGGTGACCCTGCTGATATTGAAAAACTGGTGGCATAGCATCCAGCCTCAGAGCAACATGCAAGCCACTACAGTATGAAAATCTGGCAGAGGAGTGGTTGCATCTTTATGCACCGTCATGTATTTTTTCTGTTTTACCTGGTGCTTGTCAACTCATATATTCTTTGAAGGCAGATACTTGAACCTCTGTTTTTTTATTTCCTCCATAGAGCCTGGTACTGGGAATAGGGTCACCATAGGTCGTACTTGTTAACAGAAATTTACATAAATAGCCAGAAAAAGTGGAGAGGACTGAAGCACCTTGAGAAGAGAGATAATCCATTCGCCTTTGATATTCTCCTCCATTGACTACCCATCTCTGATCTATCCCAAAATCAAATCACCTTTACTACTTAAATATCCCAAGTCTTTCCATATTTCTCCATCTCTATCCCAACTATCTTTGCCCAAACCATCAGAAGGCTAAACTGTCATTTGTTTCTGGCTTAACAATAAGAAACCCCAGCATGTATCCAAAAGTAATCCAGATCACTATGGAGATTCAATGGAATAATGTGTGTAAAAGGTATTTGCTTGTGTGTTTGTTTGTAATAGTTAAGCCTTGCACGTGGCTAAACATGCAATCTCTAGAGTCCAGTTACAAAGATTGAAACCTTCTGCCTACAGCTAACTAGCAGTGAGATTCTGAGAACTTTCTTTAATAGTTTATGTCTTATTTATCAAAGAGAGGGATAATAGTAGTAACTCCTTCGAGAATTAAGTGAGGTCTTGGTTGATAGAGGGTTTGGAACCAAAAAACTACAAGTAAAATTGTTTCAAAACAAAATGGAACAAAAACCTCACTACTGAAGGCTCTCAAAAGAAATCTCCCAAAACCCTAAATAAATAAATCACCCAATGGAATATTTCACTCATAGAATAGAGAAAATCTTTTTAACATTCTTACTCTCTGAAGCAAATTGCAATGCCCACAACTCTTCCTTTCCTCTCTCCATATTCCAAAAGTGCTCCCAGAAATGTTTTCTAGATTTTTCTCCCGTCTCTTGTTGCTTTTCTTTTCTCGATATGTTCTGTCTTCACCTCCCCCTTAGCTTTCAGTTCTTTCCAATATAAGTAAGACCAGACCTACAGAGCTTGTCTCAGGCCTTTTCCTCCCCCATTTCCTATCAGTAAGACTGTGATCCTGGGGCCAAAATACCAGAGGCTGAGGCTACTTCCAACTCACATTGAGTTGCTCTCATCTCTTGTCTGGACTACTGCATTGTTTTCTCTTCTTCTAGGGCTCTGATTACATACATTTAGACTATTTGTTATTGTTCCACAGCTCCTGAGGGCTCTCTTCTCTCTTACTTTAAAAAAAAAAAAAAAATCCTCTTTTTTTTCCTCAGAGCTTTGTAGTTTGCCTTAAGAAGTAGCTCAT